ATTCATTATATTATTTATATAATTCTGTATCCTAATTTATATTTTGCCAATTTGATCTGTTCAAATCTATTCTATATTAAAATCTGAAACTGTCCTATTTTTGCCAATGGCTCTTGAATTTTAATAGTATTACTTTATGTACTTTTATACAACATCATCTAGTGCATAAAATTACTATATTTGTCTTCACAATTTTTCTTTTATTAATATAAAATAAACTCTTAATCTTGATGTGTAGTTTTATTCTTAATTCTACAGTGCTAGGTATGAATATTGCTACTCGGACTTTCCTTTTGCTCATATTTGTCCGATATCTCATTGTGGGACTTTTACTTTGAATATTTCTGTCATTAAGTAAGTGTGTCCTTTATAAGCAACAAAGAATTGCATTTTATTTTGTAATTGAACTAAAAACATTGGTTAATTTTTAAAATTTGAAATCTTCAAAGTTCATTTGGAGAATATAATTTATTTTATTGTTGTAATTTCTATGCTTGGTTACTTTTTCCCATTCTATTTACTCCTTGACTATTTTGTCTGATTTGTTTCTGTTTATCAGCTTTAGTGATTTTGAGGATAAGCATCTTGTTTTTAATAGTCAGTTGTTAGGTCAAGGTTTAAAAAATCTTATGCTTTCTGTAACTATCAAAGTTAGAAAAAGAAGACAGAACAATGACTTTTCCCTTTTTTGCAGTGTTTTCTTTGTACTGTGTCCTAGTAGTCTCTGTCATGCCTGCCCTCTGTGACCCAAGAACATCTTCCTTCTTCGTTACTTTATCTGAGGTATTACAGCTTGTCTTTTTTTAAAGACATGGAAGATCTCTTTGGGGCTTCCCGGATGACACTAGTGGTAAAGAACTTGCCTGCCAATGCAGAAGATGGAAGAGATGCTGATTTGACCCCTGAGTGAGGAAGATCCCCTGGAGGAGGGCATGGCAACCCACTCCAGTACTCTTGCCTGGAGAATCCCATGGACAGAGGAGCCTGGCAGGCTATGTCCACAGGGTGACTCTGAGTTGGACATGACTGAAGCAACTTAGCATGCATGCAAGATCTCTTTCACTTTTTTTTTCTTCTAAATCTGTAACTATTCATCATAGCTTTGGTCTCTTTCCAGTTTTCTCCTTCTGATTCTCTGAACTTGCCCACCTTGATGTTTGCATCTTTTATTGTTGGCATCTCTTGGATATCTAAAGTTCTGCCTCTTGGAGGCAGTTTTTTTTTTCTTTCCCCCCCCTGGAAGCCATACATACCTAGTTGGCTTTCTATGATCTTCACACCTGAACAGCCACCCAGTTGGGCATGAAGTTCTTGTGCTCAAATTAACCCCTTGAAACTCTTCTGGTGTTATTTTTTTCAGAGAGGTTTCCAGGAAACTTGGTTTATTTATTCAAAAATGTTTGTAAGGTTTTATATTAATGACATTTAAAGATGTTAAGTCCTGGAGGAGGGCATGGCAACCCACTCCAGTATTCTTGCCTGGAGAATCCCATGGACAGAGGAGGCTGGTGGAATATAGTCAATGGGGTCACAAGAGTCAGACACAACTGAGCCACTAAGCACAAAGATGTAAGTAGGACATCTGAGAGTGGCTTTCTTTCCAAAAACTGCATAAAACATGGTTCCTCTAATCCATGTTCTCATCTTCTCTGTGGTATAATTCAGCCTACATCTAAGGCACCAGCTGCTTGTGGTTAACAAAGTTCCTCTCAGGCCCTGCATGTCTGTTCACAGACCCAATTTGCTTGATCCATGACCTTTCCCCATTCATTTTATTTCCTTCCTGGTATGAAGCTGGAACCAGGGCCCTGGCGACTGACAATCCAACTGGGGTCATGCCCACCTTGGGCTGCTTCTAGCCAATGATGGGGCTCTGAGGAGGCACTGGTCCTGGGAGATTCCTGCTGGACATGGAACCTTGAACAGGCGACTTGTGCTTCCAGTCTCTTTGACGACCTGGACCATCATTCTCAGAACTGCACTATGGTCCGAAGCTCTTCCTACCCAACTCTTCCTTCCCTCTCTCCTTACACAGGTGTCAGACTGCTTTGCGGTCTGAGGGCTCTTCCTGTCCACTCCTATTTTTGTTGTTGTTTAGTCAATAAGTCCTGTCCGACTCTTTTGTGACCCTATGGACTGTAGCCTGCCAGGCTCCTCTGTCCATGGGATTCTCTGGGCAAGAATACTGGAGTGGGTTACCATTTTCTCCTCCAGGGGATCTTCCCGACCCAGGGATGAAACCCACATCTCCTTCATTGGCAGATGTGTTCTTTACCAGTGAGCCACCAGGGAAGCCTGTACACTCTTTATCTCACCCTTTATCCTTCACCGGCCTTTCCCTTAACACATCTGTCAAATGTCTACTTCTGTCTCAGTGTTTGCTTCTCGGCCTCCCCCCCTGCACCATCTTACAGTGCAATCAGTTGATTCCGATGATTTCAGCGGATCCCAGAGCTGGCCAGAACAGGTGCCATCAGCAGCCTCAGACAACAGGTTTAGAGTGGGACGTTGCTAGCCCCTACTACAAGTGGATTGCTTTTTATTTGCAGCCCATTCTTGGGGGGAAAAAAAAAGACTTTTATGTCTTGCTGCAGCAGTTTCTTTTAATCTTATTCCAGTGAAGTTCCTGATCTTTTTAGAAAAAAGATTGTTAAAAAGATGGTTTCCTTGAACTTTCAGAGGGAATTCGGGGGATTAATTTTTCAGATTCTCTGCTCACTCTACCATTAGCTGGAAGTATTTTTTTTTCAACCTAATTTCTTTTTGCCAATCCATAGTGTGCTTATCTAGCTTCAAGAAATTGACATTTGAAAAGCTCACATTTGAAGTCGTTCAGCAAATTCAAATGTGACCTTTAGGATTTCCCTGCTGGAGGACACCGATAGCTGACTTGTATCTTTTCCACGCGAATACTTGTACATGAATAATTGGTACAGTCAGTTCAGACAAGCCCTGGCATCGTAGAACCATTTTTTTTCTTCTGTTTTTCATCAATTTGTTCAATTCAGCCATGTTTTGGGCTTGAATTTGGGCTTGCCTTTAAACATCACTAATTTTTTTTTTCTTGGCCACTTTAGTTCTAATCTTTGAATCAGAAGCAATGAGCTGGGTTCACTCATGAAGTCTGCTTGTGCATGACCCAGCCCCAAACGGATGCCCCAAGTTCCTTTTTTTTGCAGTCTTGTCGAATCTCTTTAAGCCCAAGTTTGTATTTGCTCTTATCTTTGTGGTTCTTGGTTTTCTGTTGTTTCTGACGTTGAAGGTGACTTGTCTTAGCCAAATGAGTCTTCCTCTTTGGTGTTGCAGCACTATCAGTTAGATCCAAATTGGGTTCTTGTCTGTTCTTTTTGTCATTTTTTGAAACTTTTCTTGTTGGTTTCAAACTATTCTAGCTATTTTTTTTTTTTTTTTTTGAGATAAGCTTGTTGGATAGTTTGGGATATTCAGTCGGGAGGGGGCAACCTGCCAGCTTACAGTTAATTTATTCCAGGCATCCTAAGGTTGGGGCAGTTAAGTTACACCTGGGACTTACACTGCACAACTCCAGGAGGCGCCATTCACACAGACGACAGGAGTCTGAAGCTTTTAATATGAGTCAGTACATTTTCTTAGACCTTCCATGACATAAACCTATATGAAAAGTTAGCACATAGGAAAATGTTGAATTTCTGGAAAGGCACCAAATAATGTATATTATATATTTACTATATAGTGCTCAATGGATGAGAGATATATGTATATTTCTGTTTTTGCCAGCAGTTAGAAAGGGTTTGGGAATGGCATTCTATACAGGGTCTTAAAAATACTCAACTCCTGCCTTCCCAAGGGTTTGTGATCTCCATCCATCTGCTGGTATCCAGCAACCATCTGCAGCCACACCTGCAACCTCAATCCTCTTGTTCCTGAAGCCAGCTCTAATTTTCTCTCTGCTCAAAGGCCTTTCTTTGCCTTAGGGAGACCTCAAGCCTTCACTTCACTTCCCGGTGACTCAGTGGTGAAGAATCCACCTGCAATGCAGGAGATGGAGGTTCGATCCTTGGGTGGGGAAGATCCCCTGGAGGAGGGCATGGCAACCCACTCCAGTATTCTTGCCTGGAGAATCCCATGGACAGAAGAGCCCGGTGGGCTACAGTCCATGGGGTCACAAAGAGTTGGACATGATTTAGCAGCTGAGCGCACACACATGCACAAGCCTTCACTCCACTCCCTTTGAGAATGTTTTTTCTTCCATATTTTTCCAGTCTCTGTATGGTTTTCTTCTTGGAACAGCTTCAGACTTTATCCTCTCAACTTTACATCCCAAAGAAAAAGCCCCAACACCCTTCCTAGAAACCCAAGCAAGAGGTTCATTACTTTTCATCCATCCTGGGTCAGATATTCACCCCTGGACCTATAAATGAACCAATGACAGTGTCCCAGGGAATGTGCTGCACTTGGTTGCCACCAGCCCTACAGACAGGGGTGGGATCAGCTCTGCCCAGCCTCCAGGGTGAGGGTGAGGCAGAGCATAGGGGCAACATACAAAGAGGAACTGGGTTCTGAAAACAGCATTTGAAACTGTACAATCTGCAGCTCAAGTCAGCAGTGCCCTAGTTTTCCTGTTTCCAGTTCTGTGAAATTCTCTCTTTGATGAAACCAGTTTGGGTCAGGGCTTATGGTCTTGCTGATACTTTCAACAGAAAGACTTCTGATTGGAGAAAAGGGAACAGATAGTCATGCATATTCTATTTTTGTAAAAGATATAGACACACACATGGGTGTGTGTGTGTGTGTGTACAGAAAGAGTCTGGAATTAATATATATATAAAAGTCACAGTGATTACATCTGGGCAACAGAATTAGAAGGTGATTTTCCTTCCTGTGTTTTCTAATTGTTATTCGGAGAGCATAGATTGCTGTGTAATAAAGGGAATGTGTTGATGAGTCTTGACAAAGTTGTTTGACTCCATTAGTTGTAGAGAGTAACAAGAGCTTCATCTCATCTATTGTTGACATTGTAGGAAGGAATATGAGCCAGCAGAACCAGAGCAAGAACTGCTCCTTTAATCATGTGGAAGAGCTGATGAAAACCGTGCAGTTGGTTGTCCACATCCCTACCTTCCTCCTCGGTCTGGTCCTCAATGTGCTCGCCATCCGAGGCTTTAGCTCCTTCCTGAAGAAGAGGTGGCCTTGCTACACTGCCACCTGCATCTACATGATCAACTTGGCGGTCTTTGACCTCCTGCTCGTGCTCTCCCTCCCGTTCAAGATGGTCCTGTCCCAAAGGAAGGACCACTTCCTGCCCTTCTGTACGCTGGTGGAATGCCTCTACTTCATCAGCATGTACGGGAGCATCTTCACCATCTGCTTCATCAGCCTGGACAGATTCTTGGCCATCCGGTACCCAATCCTGGTCAGCCACATCCGGTCCCCCAGGAAGATCTTCGGGATCTGCTGTATCATCTGGGTGCTGGTGTGGGTCGGAAGCACTCCTGTCTATAGCTTCCATAGCAAAGGGGAAAATTACACGTGCTTCCATAACATGTCTGATAGCACCTGGAGCGCCAAGGTCCTCTTCCCTTTGGAGGTCTTCGGCTTCCTTCTTCCCATGAGCATCATTGGTTTCTGCTCCTCCAGGAGTATTCACATTCTGGTTGCCCGTCGGGACCACACCCGGGACTGGGTCCAGCAGAAGGCCTGCATCTGGACTATTGCAGTCAGCCTGGCTGTCTTTGTGGTCTCCTTTCTCCCTGTCCATCTGAGTTTCTTCTTGCAGTTCCTGGTGAGGAATGGCTTCATCGAGGAGTGCAGAACCAAGCAGAATATTATCTTGTTCCTGCAGTTGTCCATGTATTTCTCCAATTTCAATTGTTGCCTGGATGTTTTCTGCTACTACTTTGTCATCAAAGAATTTCGCATGGACATCATGGCCCACCGGCCTTCCAGAGCCCAGCTAGTCCACCAGGACACCATGACCACCATGGCTATGGCTAAAAGTCATGGAAAAAAGTCATGCCTGGAAGAAGGAAACCTCAACCTGAATTCCATAGTGGATATCCCTTCCAAGGGCTCTGATGTGGTGGGCTGACAAGTGGCGCATTTAATGGTGTGCCCTCCCTCTGATGCTCACTTGAATGCCATCTTTGCTCACTGTGGCCCCAAAACCTTTCCCCAGAATCCAGACAACTTGACATAAGCCACTCAATGTCAATATCTGGGGAGCTCTGAAGAACCCAGGTGAATTCTCGATTTCTCATTCTCCAAAGCAGGAGGCCTTTGACTATGTGGATCACAGCAAACTGTGGTAAATTCTAAAAGAGATGGGAATACCAGACCACCTTACTTGCCTTCTGATAAACCTGTGTGCAGGTCAAGAAGCAACAGTTAGAATTGGACGTGAAACAACTGTTCTAAATTGGGAAAGGAGTACATCAAGGCTGTATATTGTCACCCTGTTTGTTTAACTTATATGCAGAGTACATCATGCAAAATGCCAGGCTGGATGAAGCTCAAACTGAAATCAGGATTGCTAGAAGAAATATCTGCAACCTCAGATATACAGATTATACCACCCTAATTGCAGACAGAAAAAACGAACTAAGCCTCTTGATGAGGGTGAAAGAGAAGAATGAAAAACCTGGCCTAAAACTCAACATTCCAAAAACAAAGATCATGGCCTCTGGTCCCATCACTTCATGGCAAATAGGTGGGGAAAAAGTGGAAACAGTGACAGATTTTATCTTCTTGGGCTCCAAAATCACTGTAGATGGTGACTATAGTCACAAAATTAAAAGATGCTTGCTCCTTGGAAGGAAAGCTATGACAAACCTAGACAGCATATTCAAAAGCTGAGACATCACTTTGCCTACAAATGTCAGTAGAGTCGAAGCTGTGGTTTTTCCAGTAGTCATGTATCGATGTGAGAGTTGGACCATGAAGTAGGCTGAGTGCTGAAGAATTAATGCTTTTGAATTGTGCTACTGGAGAAGCTCTTGAGAGTCCCTTGGACTGCAAGGAGATCAAACCATTCAATTCTAAAGGAAATCAACCCTGAATATTCACTGGAAGGACTGATGCTGAAGCGCCAATGCCTTGGCCACCTGATGCGAAGAGCCATCTCACTGGAAAAAACCCTGATGCTGGGACAAATTGGGGGCAGGAGGAAAAGAGGGTGACAGAGGATGAGATGGTTGGATGGTATCACTGACTCAATGGACATGAGTTTGAGCAAACTCCAAGGGATACTGAAGGACAGGGAAGCCTAGTGTGCTGCAGTCCACAGGGTCACAAACTGTCAGACACGACTCAGCAACTGAACAACAACAAAAGCATGAGGCAGGAGAACTGAGAGAAAGAGACCATCTGAATAGGGCTGTTTTCCAACTCTCCTCTGTCCTTCTATTAGGCTAGAAGATTCTGGAAAGGAAGAGAGGAGTTAGGAGAGAGAATCGGGAGGGTTGGGCATGGAGGAGGGATGGAATGGGAGGGACTGATGAAGGTCCTTTTCAGTTTGGGGATCCTGGGGTGGAGTGGTTGGACTTTCTGGTCTCTTCTGTCACTCTGTTGACCAATGACCACACAGAGATTCCAGCAGAAGGGGTGACTGGGGAGAGCAAGTATGCACAGAGAATCCCAAGTTTTCTATGGGCCTTGGAAAGGCCTGAGAGGTCACCCAAACCTTCCTGTCCCCAGGAGAAAGCTGCAAAGGGACTGAGGGGGACTGGTGTGGACCAGGCTGTGTGAAGCTGTGGACACTATGTGGAAGCAGCAGGGACACAGTGAAAAGCTTTTGGTGACACCTGAGAACCATGAGGGGACAGGATATACCTGGGAAAGGTAGGGGACAGACCAAGGGCTGGAAGTGGACAGCCCATTCCTTGTTGCTATCTGAGCATCCACTGTGTGGAGTTTGAGCACTGGCCAGGGAGGAGGAGAGGCAGTAGAGACAAGCCTGAGAGAGGAAAATTCTTGGACATGACTAGCTTGCTCTGTTGAACACGCTGGGACGTTGTTGGTTTAGTTTTAGTTTTAGATTTAGTTGGATTTAGTTTCCTTGAGAATGATGAGAAGGACTCTGGCTTGATTTGGTTCAGCCAGAGAACAGCAAGATGTTTGACTTGCCCATCAGAGTCCTGGCTAGGCAGCTGGCCATGGTGGTACTGATCACAGAGCTGTCCCTGTTCTGTGGCTGAGACAGAGAAGATGAGAGAGCCAGGGACAGGAATGGAGGACCCATCGCAACGAAACAGGGCTCCTGGCAGTTCCTGGCTGGAAACTGTAAATGATTGACTCAGGGTTTGGACTGGGCTTCTCTGATGCTCTAAACAAGGTGTGGCGGTGACAGCTGAAAGCCTGCCAATGACTCAGCTGCTCCGGGGAGTGAAATGATTATCATTATTATAGGGTGGTTTGCAAGTCGGAGTGAGTGGGATGAAAAGTGCCGAATGAGACGATGTGCACAGAGGGGATGTCTTTAGGAGGAAAAGCAGCCACCTTCTACCTGCAGCATAAGAGGGGAGCGGATGGGGGAAGTGCAGTGGGGAGAAGAGGGCGATTTAGATAAAACCCTGAGTGGGGAGGAGGCGAGGTCGGGTAATCGCCCAAGTCTTGAAGTGCTGGGGTTCTGCGAGGGGTGGGGTGGGGGGTGGGAGCGGCAGGAAGGATGGAGGGCAGGGTGGCTTCCTGCCTGAGAACCCTCAATTTGACCGAGAGCCGTTGACGAGCAGGAGCCTTGCCTTCTCCTGCCTCCCCTGTGGTCAGTGGTCGGGTCACACTCGGTGGGGCTGGAGGGAAGGGTGAGGAAGAAAGGGTCGAAATGGAGCAGTGATCATGCCCAGGACCAGAGGCTCCGCCCCTCAGACGGGGTCTGCACGGGGCACCAGACAGAGTCAGGGCTCTGCGACCACGAGATGAGTACTGCCCAGAAGCCCCAAGCCCTGGACACTGCTCCTCCTGCCTAGGCCGCACAGTCCCACGGCCATCCTGGACGGAGGCATACCTGTGCCACCCTCAGAAAACCAGACATGCATCAGTAGGACACTCGGCTGGATGCAGTCAGAGCCTGGGGTGGGTGGAGCTATGAGTCGCCCCTCCCCAGTTTCTCTCTTTGAGCCAGGAGCTGGGAGCCTGCCTGGTGGAGCTGAGCGGACAGTTCATGCCACCACAGCATTCAGGGCCAGACAGGCTTCTAAAGAGGAAAGGGATGAGGGGACCCTGACAACCCATCATCCCCAGTGATGTCTGTAAGCCTACAGTCTTGTCTTGTGGCAGTATGACTGCCTGAGCCAGGTGACAGAGGGCAGGAGTGGAGTCTAGACTCAGGAACTGTGTAATTAACTATTAGGTGTAGGTCCCTGGGGGGATGTGATGGTATGGAGTGGATGTGACAACTGTGGGCCTGTGGGTGAGCCTTGGGGACCCCGTGACTGATCCCAGTACTCTCGGGGGAGGAGATGGATCTGCTCTCCCTCCCCAGGGGGACCCATCCTGGCCTGTGTAGTAGGGCTGGGCATAGGTCCAGTGCTGCAGGCCAGGCTGCTCTGTAGGAGGGTCCACCCTTGGGGCCCAGCCTGGCCCATAATCAGCAGTCAGGCCCAGCTGGCACAGGAGGGGCAGAGGGGCAGAATTAGGGTCAGGGTGCTGATGAAACCACCTGCAGCAAGTAGCAGTCAGTGAGTTGGGGACAGCTGAACTTAGCTGTGGAAAAGCAGAAACTGTCACCACTAAAATCAGTGGGGGCTTAGGGACATGGTCTGGTCATATGTGTCACCTTATTTGTACTCCTAATCTGAAAAACTCTGAGGTACACTTGGTATATGGACATGTGTGAAACTAAGACAATTAATTGGAAGCAATAATTTGATTGATCTGATTTTCCAAATAAATAGATTCCTGTGATGCTGAGTAACCTTGTCTTAGGCTAAACTTATTGGCTCCAGAAAAGAGCCAGCCACTGATGGCCCTCATCAGGTGACCCAGTAATCTTGGTCAAAAGCACTACAAAGGGGCCAGGTCAAAGAAGCCACCTAGACACTGAGTCTGGGACCACAGAGACTCTGGGCCAGACTACACTCTGGCCTCATGAGCATAGCTGGGACCTGTCCCAAGTGGCCAGGAGCCAGACCCTGCAGGGTCACAGTGCAGCTCCTCACAGCACTTTGGGATACCTAGTTCTCTCTGGTGGCAAATGGGCCACATGGACCCCACAGGCTGTGGTGCTGAGTCCACCTCATCCTGCTACTGCCATCTTGTCCCGCCACCACCATGACGCTGGAGCCACCTCCGAAGCTCTGGCTCCTCTGCACACATTGTGCAGCCCAACACAGACCTGCTGACCATAAACAGGCTGAAGACACAGGGCCAGTTCTCCAGGAGCCTTCTGCCAATGGCCCCTCCCTATTCTGACTGCCCACTGAGTGAGTCCATCTCGCCCAGGTTAGATCTGATTTTTCCTTCATGGCTCATCCCATGTGAGTCCTGCTGACCTATCCAGCGCTCTGGAGAATGTGAACAGCCAGGTGCTGGCTGTTCTGCTGAGCCTCCCAGAATCCTGAGCCCAGCCCAGCTCTGGCCTGGGTGCCAAGCGATGACTGGGGACACCCTTGCTCCTTGATGGCTGTTGTGGACTGAATTTTGTTGCCCACCCTCCCCACCAAATCAGGTATTATTTTCTTGGTCTCCAAAATCACTGTGGATGGCGACTATAGCTGCAAAATTAAAGATGCTTGTTCCTTGGAAGGAAAGCTATGACAAACCTACACAGCATATTCAAAAGCAGAGACATCACTTTGCCTACAAAGGTCCATGGAGTCTAAGCCATGGTTTTTCTGTAGTCATATAAAGATGTGAAAATTGGACCATGAAGAAGGCTGAGTTCAAGAATTGATACTTTTGAATTGTGGTGCTGGAGAAGACTCTTGAGAGTCCCTTGGAGTGCAAGGAGATCAAGCCAGTCAATCCTAAAGGAAATCAACCCTGAATATTCATTGGAAGGACTGATGCTGAAGCTCCAATACTTTGGCCCTGATGCAAAGAACCAACTCATTAGAAAAGACCTGTTGCTGGGAAGGATTGAAGGTTAAAGGAGAAGGTGGCAGCAGAGAATGAGATGGTCAGATAGCATCACTGACTCAATGTACATGAACTTGAGCAAACTCTGGGAGATAGTGAAGGACAGGGAAGTCTGGAGTGCTGCAGTCCATGGGGTTGCAAAGCATCTCAAAGAGTTGGATACAACTTAGTGACTCAACAACAGCAACCCCAATCTGTATGTTGAAGCCCTAACCCCCAATGTGATGGTATTTGGGGATGACACCTTTGGGAGATACTTAGGTATAGAT